CAAACATAATCTTATATTTTTCTATCATCAAACAAACGAATTTGAAAGAACTTTCTCTAGGGTTTTTTTTAAATGTTATGTCTAAATTGTCTACTCCACCGAAAGACTCAACAAATATAGCATGAAACCCTTAGATTTTCTTTAAAATAAAAGTATAATAATAAATTTATCATTAATATTCATTTTAAAAAATAAGGAAATAAAAAATATAAATATATATCATAATCAAATCCATAATTTTTTAATTGTAATATTATTATATTATAATTTTTTATGTTATAATTTTTATTTATAATTAATATTACAAACAGAGTAAAAAACTATAACATAACAATATTATAAATAAAAATTATGGATTTGATTATGATATAGATTTATTTTTTTGGTGTTTCTATTTTTAAAGGAATATTAATTATAAATGTTAATTTGGTTTAATTTTAAAGGGAGACAAGGGTTTTATGCTACATTTGTAAATTAGAGTTCATATTCGTGTTTAGAAAGTAAAAAAAAGACTGAATTAGAAACTTTAAGGTCGTCAAACAATCGTCGGTGGGTGATCGATGGCGATCAGTGGGTGTCGACAGCGATAACAATTGTGATGAGTGACATCTGATAGTGGGAGACTTTATTCAAATTTATGGGTTAAATTGATATTTTATTTAAATATTGGTATTAAATAAATATCTTATCTAAAATTCATTAATTAAATTAATATTTTATTTAAAGTTTAAGAGTCAAATTAAACATTAATCTATTTTATTAATATGTATCACATAAGTAATTAAACTAGATGCGGTCCAATATTTTATTCATATAAATTTGACACAACGTTGTGTTCCTTCCACTATATTTTGCTAATTACCAAGTAGTTATCAAAGTTAGTAGTCTAATACTAAAACCAATGGCAGCAAGAAGTAAATAACTACATAGTTTTATTCATTAAGCTGAAAAGAGTACAAAGTAGGGTCATGAGAGGCAAACCCTCTAACAAGGCAATATTAACGATAGGCTGTCTCATTATTAAGCAGTGGCCTAACCTTTATTTACTTAAAACTAATATTAAAGTAGTAATTAAGCATTAACAACTTGTCGAATCCTCTTGTTTACTTCGTTTGCTTTGATAAATATCCATGGCCATGGATACCTGAGCCACCGGATAGAGCCAAACGTATGTGTCCATCTTCATCTACAGCTCTCTCAATTTCGTTGCAAGCGGTTATGGAAGATCACATACTGAAGGGCAGTACTTAAATTTGTACGTACCATCCATGCCGGCCTTCTCTATTTTAAACCAATTCTCCAAAGTGTCGCAACCAGGGCCTCCTTCAGTCCCACCAAGTTCCACCCACTTTTGGTCGTGATCTACCTTCCACACCGTTGATGTTAGGCAGAGTCTGTCTCTAGGTCCAACGAACTCTACTTTTACGTCGGAGGACACACGGACAACGTTATCTTTGGTGTTTGCATTAGAAAATACCACGGGATTACCATTGTCCATATCAGATAGTCTCTGAACGACGATTTCTGGGCATTTTCTACCGCTCTCCCTGCCTATGGCAAGCCCTCCACCTCCAGCGCCCCATATCGCCGACAGTACATAGTATGGCCCTGTGACGACCTCTTCACCGTCTCTATCCAGCACAGCATCGTCTGCAGCGTTAGCCACGCCAAACAGAAAGGACGATTGTGTGATTGAGAAGAGGAAAAGAAGAAATACAGAAGCGATTGTGGTTTTCATGGTTATCAGATTGTGTTTGAGATGTGTTGTTGGTTTAGTTTTCCATGCCAATTTATAGAGGTGTAAGGTCCACGAACGTCCAAAATCCATTGAGATATGGTAACACATATTTCAAACATGAGGTAAATAATTTTTGCTCGAGTATGCAGAGACTGTTGAAAAGAAAAGTGAGAGCAAAACCATAAGGGCAGCTTTGGCCAATTTCAATCGATTATTCGATTGGAGATTAATAGTTGTTCAATTAAACAATACAAATTTTCAATATTAAATCTGTCATAATTACCAACTTGTATCATCGAAAGAGAAAGAGCACCAATTGTACTTTTTATGTGTTTTAATTATTTGGTTTCTTTCCAACGAACTTATATAAGAGTTTCGTTAGTGAGTCAAGTAATTATAAAAGTTAATACTAATAAGATGATTATGTTTTTTTAAACAATATAATATTTATGGTAAATGATATGAATAGTTAATTTTGACGGAATAAAATGAAAGATATATTCGGTTATGTATTTTCATACTTTTGCTACTCAAAAATGATGAGAAATCGAATATGAACATAAACATATATGTGATTTTATTCAATAAATTGTTAAAAAAATATTTACAACCATATTGATAAAAATAAATGCACATACATCGTGGGAAAAGCTTAAATGCATGTTTGCTTCGAAATCAAGCAACAATAAACTACTCTTCTTAAGGAAATGATGACGTTCGGATATAAAGAATGAACATATGCATCTGACAATGTTAGTAAGTTCCGTTTCAGTATGATATGAAATAGTTACTTGGATTAGTGTCAAACCGGATTATAAGATTTTATGACTTTAGTTACTCACTGCTTTATTAAATTTTTGGTAAACTTTTCAAGTTTTGCTAATTAATTTTGCTCTATAAAATATTATAATTTTGAACTTAGTCAAGAGTGTGGTGTTGAATACAGATTTTATAAAAGAGTCTCATGGTTCAATGTCACAATATGTAAGGGTGAGCATTCGATAGAGTTGAGTCTAGTTGAGTTAAAAAATTTCGACTTATTCGAGTTGACGAGTCTTATTTTGTAACTCGAACTTAACTTGAACATTTTTCAAGTTAAGTCGAGTTATTTTTATTTCTATACAAATTTTATTATAATTATTTATAGTATTATGGTAAGGATTGATTCCAATTTTTGGTTTTACTCTAACCGTATAAGATATATATATATATATATATATATATTCATATTTTTTCCCATTATAATGTTATTTAATATATCAAATACAATCTAAAATTATAAAAATATTTACAATATTATATTTTAAAAAAGATATTTTGAGGGTAAAATATTGATCAGACTATAAAAGAGTCAATGAATTGATGGAACGAAAGAATTTACAGTCAATTGCAGTTAAAAGATCAAATTGAGTAAAATGCAAAGTTAATGGACTAAATAAAATGAGAGTATATTTTTAGTCAAAAAAATAGGAATTGAAGTTACATAGGTATTCTATAATGGTATAGGAGCATGTGGTTCAAATTTGATAAAAAAATAGACTTAAAATGAAGGATGAATTGAAGAAATAAGAAAATTATGAAAAATTGAGAACTAAATTGATTTTTTTTAATTATCAAAAAGATAAATTGAAAGCACATAGGTATTCTAGGATGGTTTAGGAGCATGCAGTTCAAATTTGATAAAAATCGACTAAAAATAAAGGAGAAATTGAAGGAATAAAGAAATCATGGATTAAATCGTAAAACTGTCAAAATAGTCAATCAAATTTTTAGTTTTTCGAGTAACTTGGAATTTTCAAATTTCAACTCGACTTGAACTCGAAAACTGAATCGATAACTTGAGTTGAATCGAACAACTTGAAATTAAAAAAAATTAAATCAAAACAAAATTTTGTTCACTCTCAATAATACTAGATTTTGATTACCCAAAATAAGGGAGAAACAAATAAAAAGATAAAATGATAGAGATAAAAACGGAATCAAATGATGACCCAAATACAAAATTCTTTATTGATGTCATTGTGACAAGAAAGAAATAAAGAAATAATACAAGCGAAAGATGGAGAACAAAGGCAGTAGTGATAAAATAAATACATAATTTAAAATTAACAAACAAAAATATTTATTTGTACGTAGACAGAATCAAATGAAAAAAGTTGATTAAATAAAAGAATATTTTTTGTTGAGGAATGTATGAATAGTTTTCTTAAACAAATTCATCATTTCTTTGGTGTTTTCAATACCGTTAGACGTTAATCTCTAATGATACAATAATAAATACAAAATTAGTGAATAGTCAAACATAATCTTATATTTTTCTATCATCAAACAAACAAATTTGAAAGAACTTTCTCTAGGGTTTTTTTTAAATGTTATGTCTAAATTGTCTACTCCACCGAAAAATGTTGAAGACTCAACAAATATAGCATGAAACCCTTAGATTTTCTTTAAAATAAAAGTATAATAATAAATTTATCATTAATATTCATTTTAAAAAATAAGGAAATAAAAAATATAAATATATATCATAATCAAATCCATAATTTTTTAATTGTAATATTATTATATTATAATTTTTTATGTTATAATTTTTATTTATAATTAATATTACAAACAGAGTAAAAAACTATAACATAACAATATTATAAATAAAAAATTATGGATTTGATTATGATATAGATTTATTTTTTGGTGTTTCTATTTTTAAAGGAATATTAATTATAAATGTTAATTTGGTTTAATTTTAAAGGGAGACAAGGGTTTTATGCTACATTTGTAAATTAGAATTCATATTCGTGTTTAGAAAGTAAAAAAAAAAAGACTGAATTAGAAACTTTAAGGTCAAACAATCGTTGGTGGGTGATCGATGTCGATCAGTGGGTGTCGACAGCGATAACAATTGTGATGAGTGACAGTTGACAATGGGAGACTTTATTCGAATTTATGGGTTAAATTGATATTTTATTTAAATTTTGATATTAAATAATATCTTATCTAAAATTCATTAATTAAATTAATATTTTATTTAAAGTTTAAGAGTTAAATTAAACATTAATCTATTTTATTAATATGTATCACATAAGTAATTGAAGTAGATGCGGTCCAATATTTTATTCATATAAATTTGACACAACGTTGTGTTCCTTCCACTATATTTTGCTAATTACCAAGTAAGTTATCAAAGTTAGTAGTCTAATACTAAAACCAATGGCAGCAAGAAGTAAATAACTACATAGTTTTATTCATTAAGCTGAAAAGAGTACAAAGTAGGGGTCATGAGAGGCAAACCCTCTAACAAGGCAACATTAACGATAGGCTGTCTCAGTATTAAGCAGTGGCCTAACCTTTATTTACTTAAAACTAATATTAAAGTAGTAATTAAGCATTAACAACTTGTCGAATCCTCTTGTTTACTTCGTTTGCTTTGATAAATATCCATGGCCATGGATATCCTGAGCCACCGGATAGAGCCAAACGTATGTGTCCATCTTCATCTACAGCTCTCTCAATTTCGTTGCAAGCGGTTATGGATGAATCACATACTGAAGGGCAGTACTTAAATTTGTACGTACCATCCATGCCGGCCTTCTCTATTTTAAACCAATTCTCCAAAGTGTCGCAACCAGGGCCTCCTTCAGTCCCACCAAGTTCCACCCACTTTTGGTCGTGATCTACCTTCCACACCGTTGATGTTAGGCAGAGTCTGTCTCTAGGTCCAACGAACTCTACTTTTACGTCGGAGGACACACGGACAACGTTATCTTTGGTGTTTGCATTAGAAAATACCACGGGATTACCATTGTCCATATCAGATAGTCTCTGAACGACGATTTCTGGGCATTTTCTACCGCTCTCCCTGCCTATGGCAAGCCCTCCACCTCCAGCGCCCCATATCGCCGACAGTACATAGTATGGGACGCCTGTGACGACCTCTTCACCGTCTCTATCCAGCACAGCATCGTCTGCAGCGTTAGCCACGCCAAACAGAAAGGACGATTGTGTGATTGAGAAGAGGAAAAGAAGAAATACAGAAGCGATTGTGGTTTTCATGGTTATCAGATTGTGTTTGAGATGTGTTGTTGGTTTAGTTTTCCATGCCAATTTATAGAGGTGTAAGGTCCACGAACGTCCAAAATCCATTGAGATATGGTAACACATATTTCAAACATGAGGTAAATAATTAGGACCACCTCGTCCATGTCTTGTTAAAATTTTTAATATCGCAGTACCCCACCCCAACTTCGTTTTTGTTGTCTTGTTAATTATTGTTCTCGTCTTCTTATTATTTATTTAAGCACGTGAATGAATAGTAATTCAAATAATTGATTCCAGAAGGTCCCATTTGGTAGTATATATCTTAGGCTTGTTATAAAGATTTTTTATTTAGGTGCTTAAATTATATTTTGATCAATTCAGATATATAAAATTGTAAACATTATCATTTTAAGTATCTTGACTGTAACGGCCTTCAAAATATATAGTTAAATGATAAGTGTCTTATTCTTATAATTTTAAAGATTTTATTTAATAAACTTCAAATAAATTAAAATGTTTCCCCTTCCCTTTCACTCACCCATTATCTCCCGGTCCCCTTTTCTCAATTTTAACATTTGGTGACGTTATGTTAGTAACGATGATTGTATTGTCGGTGAAGGTGTGATCGACAACAACGATGATAAATGATGGTGGTCGGCGTAGGTAAGATATTAGAATAATTGTTTTCAAAGTTTTGGGTATTTTTAAGATTTTCAAAACTTTTGGATTTTCTTTATAGAAATTATATTTTTAAATTTATTATTTTAAATAAATATTTTTTAAATTATCGGAATATGCCACGTGTCACCTAATAAAAATTTTTAACACTACTACGGTCGGATACTTAAAATGGTATCTTTTGTAAGTTAGACACTTTAATTAATCAAAAAATAGTTTAGACACCTAAATTGAAGAAACAAAATTAGGCGTTTATTTTTATATTAAGCTTTAAATACATCATTTAAATTCAATATATTAAAAATTATTATGAATATTTGTGTATGTGGATTGTGTATTATTATCATAACGATATGTATTAAAATATAACTTTTATGCACATTATTATTAGGATTTCGGTATCCATTAAGACTAAAGTTTTATGTGATATACACTTCTTACTTCTATAAATATAGAGTTTAGAGAAATCATTGTATACAATTCATATTGAGAAAATAATACAGATCTATCTCATTATTCATATCACTTCTTTTTATTGTTCTTCTCATTACTTCGTTTTTTTTAAATTTAATTATAACATATTATCAGCAGAACTTGTTCAGAATGAATAATTTGGTTACGTTGAAGAATTGATTCACCATTCACGACTCTTAGTTCAAGATCTTAAATGGTAAAGATAATATTTTGAACCATGTCAATACACCACAATTTTAAATAAATATATCATATACTACTTTTGTATAGATTAATGCTTTATATATTTTTATTTAAATATCAGTTACATATTTATTTTAGTTAGATTAAATATTAGATTTTGATTAAATCTTATATGTTGGTCTTTAATAATATATGTTGGATGAAAGGTTTAAAATAAATCTTTGATATTTTTTAACCATAATTAGGGATCACTATTCATTTATATGATTCCATAAATAAAAGTTTACATGTTTAAGTTTATTAGATAATTTCTTGGAACTTTTTAATCTCCCCCTCTACTAATTGATATTTTATTATGTTTATTTCATGAGTTTTGTTTTTCAGAAAATAAAAATGAGTTTTATTTTTCAGAAGAAGCTTTCTTGTTTTTCTTTGTTCATGTGTGTTGTCTTGTCATCGGTCTTGATTTGCTTTTGATCGAAACAACCCTTTGGAGGAGAGAAACCAATGAACATGAGGGCATATTTTAAAAGAGGAGAGCATTCGATTGGCGTGAAAATCACGCATTTCCGTCGTCAGCAAGCGACAATCGACGCCGACATTGGATGACCGACACGGCGAAAACCACCGGAATCTAAGTTTCTCTAAAAACTGGTTGAATGCTCTATAAACACTAAAGAATAATTGAGAGATTTTCTTTGAGGAATTTTTTTATCAAAAATTTTCAAATGAAAAAAATAGAGTTTGTTCTAGTATTTGACTTTTATTGAAGAATAGATGATCCGCACGGATCCATGAAGGGTAGGGGATATTCCTCTCCGTGGTCCTTCCAATATTGTTAGAAAATCCTGATTAGTCTCCCCTTCAAATAAATGACTATCTTGTAATTTTTAGGAGTTTGATGACTAAAACAAAAGGTAGAACATAGTTAAACCAAAAAGTAACACGTCTTGAATGTTAAATTCGATGTTAATTAGGACCCCAGCCTTTTTTGTTTTATTCATGGTTTTACGAGGCAACTCGTAATGGCATAATTGGTTTTATTACTGTTTTTTATTTAATTAGGACCGGCAAATGTCAAATTCTATGTTACCTAGGGCCACCTCGTCCATGTCTTGTTAAAAATTTCAATATCGCAGTACCCCACCCCAACAGCGTTTTTGTTGTCTTGTTAGTTATCGTTCTCGTCTTCTTATTATCTATTTGAGCACAAGCATGAGTGAGTCATTCAAAATAATTGATTCCATAAGGCCCATTTGGTAGTAGACATCTTAGGTTTAATATAAAAATTTGTGTTTAAATTATATTATTTTTTGGTCAATAAAGGTACATAAAATTAGAAATGTTATCATTTTAAGTGTCTCGACCGTAAAGACCCTTAAAAAATCTCGTTAAGTGAAGCATGTCGTATTCTGGTAATTTTAAAGATTTTCATTAAAAAAAATTGAATAATTTATTGTATTTAAAAGATATATATTTTAAAAAAATATGAAATCATTAAGAATATTTAATAGTTTATTCTATCAATTTGTTTAATTCATCAAGTTTGTCTAAAATAAAAATAAAAATAAAAATGGTTGTTCCTTATTCCCATATGTGATGGGGTAAGGGAGAGGTAAGATAGTAGTCTACCCTCAATGAGAGCAGTTTCCGTATGAGACCTCTAAATTATGAAATACCCTCCATGGGACTTGATCCCACGACCTCAAGGTTAAGAACCTTGTGCTCTACCAACTGAGCTGGATGTTCATAAAAGACAACCCAAAATCTTAGATTATGAACTCATTAAGATCATAAAAGGTCATCCTTTCATGTTGGTTGATTCATCAAGTCCATCCGACTATGATTATCCAAAACTTAATATATGAATACATTTAGAGCAAAACTCAACCTTGTGCATATACATTATTCGTCATAGCTATAGGTAGAAATGTGCAATATGAATCTTTCTATGGTTTAGTTTAACCACATAAAACTTAGAAGACTAAATTAAATATCCACCATAAATTCCTCAACTAATGAACTTAATATCCTCTCGATGAATCATGAACCACTTTCATCTTTAACTCCTAAATTAAGGAATCAACATAAATCCTCTTCAATCATCTCATATTTCAACATACATACTCATGTTTGCTCTTATCATTATAGATTTAATTTTAAATCATACATATTATAATTTATGAGTCACATAAAAATACTAAGGATGAAAAAAAATGTCTTTAAGGATTTTCAACAAAATAAATTCATGTGCAATTCATGTACCATCGGGTAGTAGATACCTCTATGAAGATTTTCCTAGTACGGTATACAGTTGTTTGCATAATTTTTAAGAAAATATTTTGTACTACTTTTTAGGAAAGATAAATTACTTCATATATCACTTAATTTTTTCAACTCACTCGTTTATTTTTAATTTTATCAATTATAATATTAAACTTAATTTTATATTTTATTATATTACTCCATCGTTAAGTCAATAATAGAATTATGACATGACTAACAGTTGTTGATGTGATCCGTCACACCAAAATAACATCGTTTTAAGCACTAAATTTTAAATATATATTGATTTATTTTAAACTTTTAAACAATTTATTTTTTTGACATTACACTTTTCGATCGACGGCCAATCAATGCATGTCATCGGTCATAATTCAGGACAATATCAGTACCAAAACATTCGTATTTTACTTCTCTTTCTTCTTCTATGATTGATTTTTTACGAAACACACTTAGACTCGACGAAAAAATTAATCTTATGAGAATTGAAATACGAATGTTTTGATACTGAGTTTGTCGCGAAAGACAATCGATGATGGGTGGTGAATAACAGTCAAAAAGTGTAGAGCCAAAAAAGTAAAATATTTTAAAGTTCAGTGATGAAAGGATACACCATTAGAGTTCAACGTCTAAAATAATGTCGTTTTAGGCATCGGGACAGTCGTACCAAAATAATGTCGTTTTGGTGTGACAGGTCACGTCAATAACCGTTAGCTATGTCTTCATCATGTTAATGACTTAATGACGGAGTGACATAATTAGATGTAAAACTAAAATTTAATGCTATAATTGACAAAAATAAAAGTTGAATGGTATAAACGATTCATCATGTAAAATGAAGTGATATCTAAAGTAGTTTATCCTATATTAAATTACATCTTCAAGCGCTGTTGTTTCCCAACTCCATATATGATCAAATCAAACTCTTTGAAACATCCCAAAACAAATTTATAAGAATTTAATGAGATTCAGTGGATACTATGTTAATGAGATTAAGAACTTAATGTTTTGGTAATTATTTCGGTTCAAACAAAACAAATATTCAACTCTTTTTAAAATATTAAGGCTAAAAGTACACAAGTGGTCCCGCGGCTATGGCGTGTTGCTTTGTTGAGTTCTCCGACTATTAAAAATTATAAAATGATCCCTCGAATATAAGATGCTACTTTGTTGAGTCATCCAACGATCAAAAGTTACAAAACAATCATTTGACTATTCATATGTTCCAAACTTGTCATTTTTCGTTAAAAATTGACAGTTTGTCTGAGCTGGATATTAACATGCTCACTCTGATATGATAAAATTTGATTTTAGAACCCTTTGAGATGTATTTCACTATTTTGTGGATCAAGTCTATGTTTACATTATATCATCGCTTCATTGCTTCAAACATTATGTTATCCAATCATTGCTTGAAAATAACGACGGTATCGGTAGACATAACGTCTAGTTCAAACTACCGTTAATTTTTTAACATAAAATGATGAGTTTATAACATATACATAGTTGGATGATTATTTTATAACTTTTAATAGTCAGAGACTCAACAAAACAACACCTTATAATCGAGATATTACTTTATAGATTTTAATAGTCGAAAGATTCAACAAAGTAATACCCTATAATCGAAATATTATTTGTGTATTTAACCAAAAAAAATTAAATTAAATTAAAATAAATGACTAGAATAAAAATAACAAAATTTATAAATATTGAAAATTAAAATTACCTTTATGCTGTTATATTATGAAGATAGGAGCACGTGATTCTTCTGTTGTTGTCAGAATAGAGGACAAAGTTTTCGTACTTCGTTATCTACTCAATTATTGCGTTGTCTTCTTTCCCTTAACTTTACCCAAAACAATTGATCCCATAAAAATGTCTTGTGGCAAGGAACTACAACCACCATAATAATAATTTTATAAAATAATTATTATGAAAATTTTAACCTCCTACAAGAATATTCCTGATAAATTACATTTTAAAAAATAATAATTAACATTCTTAAAAATATTTAATAAATTATGATAATTAACAATTTCAAATAATCAATAAGTATTACTCCTTGGACCATTATATCAAATATTAAATATGAATATTACTCCTTGAATCGGATACAATTCAAGTGTTACATAAACATATATAAAAATTCGAATATTTCAAAATTTATAAATAATAAAAATTAAGGGTAAAGTACACAAGTGCTCCCCCGATTATGACGTGTTACTTGTTGAGTCATCCAGCTATTAAAAACTATTAAATGATCCCTCGAATGCTCACTTGGATATGATAAAATTTGATCTTATAACTCTTTGAGTTGTATTTTGTGGATCAAGTTTATGTTTACATTATATCATCGAGTCATTGATTGAAAGCAACGACGTTATCGGTAGACATAATTAAAATATAATTTTATCATATATAGATTAGCAGTTAACGTATAGTTCAAATGACCGTCAATTTTTAACAAAAAATGATAAGTTTGGAATATATAAATAGTTGGATGATTATTTTGTAACTTTTAATAGCCAGAGACTCAACAAAACAATACCTTATAATCGAGATATTATTTTATAATTTTTAATAATCGAAAGACTCAATAAATTAGTACCTATTGTCGAAAAATCATTTGTGTACTTAGCAAAAATAAATAAATTAAACTAAAATAAATGACTAGAATAAAAATAACAAAATTTATAAATATTGAAAATTAAAATTACCTTTATGCTGTTATATGTTGAAGATAGGAGCACGTGATTTTTCTGTTGTTGTCAGAATAGAGGACAAAGTTTTCGTACTTCGTTATCCACTCAATTATTGCGTTGTCTTCTTTCCCTTAACTTGTACCCAAAACAATTGATCCCATGAAAATATTTCTTGTGGCAAGGAATTTTAATATACGATTAAAAAAATGTATTATGAAAAATATTAATATTTTAAATAAAATATTATCTAAAATATTATTTTTACTAAAAATATTAATTTTATTATTTAAATTTTGGTAAAAAAAAAAATATTTTAGGTATTGTTCAATATTAATATTTTCGGTAGAAAAAATAATATTTTATGTAGCGATTTACCTGAAATGTTAAACATTTTAGGTAGCATCCAATATTAACATTTACGATAAAAAAATAATGTTTTAGGTAGCGCTTTATCGAAAATATAAAAAAAATTATTAACATTTCTGATAGCGTTTTTCCCTTAACCGCATATTAAAACTGTTGTACCTTAAACATCTCTCAAGAAACTACAACCACCATAATAATAATTTTATATAATAATTATTATGAAAATTTTGAATATTCTTGTTATGAGAAATTACATTTTAAAAAATTATAATAATTAACATTCTTAAAAATATTTAATAAATTATGATAATTAACAATTTCAAATAATCAATAAGTATTACTCCTTGGACCATTATATCAAATATTAAATATGAATATTACTCCTTGAATTGGATACAAATCAAGTGTTACATAAACATATATAAATTCGAATACCTAAAAATTTATAAATATTCTATTCAAATGAGATGCATGTATTTTCTATTAAAAAAAATATTAAATTTTATATTTAATAATATTATACCTCCTTCGAACAACCTTCGTTTTCACTATTTTTAGTATTATACATATTGAAGCTCTTGGTGATCGAAGCGTTTAGAGGAATTTCTTCACCGATCAGAACTTTTAGAGATCCATAGCATCTAATCATTAGAAGTTCATTGATATTATCTCTTGTAGACCCACGTGATCTTTCAAAATCAAATTTATTGACAGACGATCATATCTACTTGCCTTAGCAACCTATGAGTAAACATTAGAATCTTATGACTCACGTCAACACTAAGGGTAGTTATATACATTCCTCATGCAAGACTGAAAGGGATATGGACTCTCTCTCTCTCTCAACCTCAAATCACCTATGGCCTTAAGCTCATTATTACTCATAGAATCTTATGACTCACGTCAACACTAAGGGTAGTTATATACATTCCTCATGCAAGACTGAAAGGGATATGGACTCTCTCTCTCTCTCAACCTCAAATCACCTATGGCCTTAAGCTCATTATTTTCTTAAATATCACATATTATGGTTTTCTATCTAAATTAGAAATGGTGAATTGCCTACAACTATAGTAACCTGAATGTTATCATAAACAATTGATGTGGTGAGCGTGAAGGTACCTCCTCACTGAAAAGAATCATTCGAGATGAACTCCCAGAAGAAAATTAACCAGTGTTATTTCTTGTCTTCTTCCAGAAATTCCCCCTAATGCGCTCATAGATTCTAGCCAACAACTACAAATTGTGTATGATCCAGCATACTGACAAAGCTCATTGCAAGTTATCTCTGGAAGCTCATTGCGAGTTATCGACTAACAGAACAAGTTGCAAAACTTGCATTCGCGGTTCTAAGCCTCCCAAGCGGCCCTAATACAACTACAGAAGCAATGCCAACAAGCGTTGACTCAGAAAGCTTCTCAAGAACTATTGATTCCTTGCCATCAAGGAATCAGGTGATGTGAAGAAGGGGGACAACATGAACACTATGACGCACTATTCTCACTCGGATCATTCTTCCTATAAGCGCTTGAAATGTGAAGGTGACACCCCTTTGGGACTTGCTTTTACGAGACATGTTCTTCTGGTTTACTCCATCTCGAACCCCATACAATTTTCATTTATCTGGACGTCCGAACATAAGAACGAAAAAAGTAACACGTATCGTCGGTCTCAAACAACAGGTTAATGAGTTTCCTAGGCTAATTGACCGAGAAGTGGAGAATGCTGCTACCGTGGATATTACCACAACTCCAGAGGTAACATTGATCGTGGTTGTGACTACAACTTGCTGATAATAAGTAATTTTTCAGAGGATATTCGACATATTATATTGTTCTATGGCGAGCGTTTGAAGCTCTGTTTTCAAGATTTCCGAATGTATGGTGTTGAAGAGGTGATCTCAACATGGAGAGAACATAGAGGATGTCGGGATTTGAAGAAAGCAATTCATTGGTGTTGAATTGTCCTTGGTGACCATGGTTTAGTTTGTATGTTTCACTCATTAAACGCGAAACCAATAGTTTGATGGATGCTTTAGCCAAAGTGAAATTGATCATAAAACTTGATCTTTTGTGCTGTGATTGTGGAGTTGGATTGGATGTGTTCCGATGAAAAATCAAATTAGTTGTAAGGCCGATGAAACATCCAACAAAAATTTCAGAATAAGAGAGATAAACTTAAATAAAGGATAGAAATACATAATAATTGCGCAATAAGATATAGCAATATTATGCATCTGAATTCTGAAACCATGACATTTCATAACATTCATTAATTGGTCCAAAGATAAACTCCAATGGAGGTTAGTTGTCCATCTTTTAAGCGGCCAAAAAATCCAGCAAGCCGGCGTGAATCCCCAAATTGTAAGTCGAATGGTGTGTAAGAACAAACAGGCCAATTAATGAGTTTACCAGAACCACCAGCAGCAGAATCATCACCATCGATGTAACCGAAGGGTCCAAATTTTCTTTTATCCGTTATAAAGGTAAGTGATCTAATACCTTTCTCTCTATCGAACATCCCCTTTACCCCTGTGATGTACTCTGAATCATCGAGACTTACCTTCAATATATACGCACGTTAAGATAAATAAATAAATGACTTGTACATTAGAAAAAAAGATTAAATATTCAAATAATATGCCATATAACTTACAACATTGAAGTGTGAACCATTGGATTTTCCGTATTGCAAGGACAAGACATTTCTTGCACATAGATTTGTATACTTAAATTGTAAAGAAACAATGGTAGATGGGGTATAAGAAATATATATTCGAGTGATTTCATCAAATCCCTTCACATTCCATTCAAATCCCTCGTCATCTTTCCCAATCGGCCCTATTTTTACCATTTCTGGGAGACTCATTTCCGAAAAATATATAACTACAGACTTCCCTTCCTACATATCTCACACACACACACACACATATATATAGGTAGAGCATGGGTTTAGCATTATTGCGTGTTTTTGTTAATTGGATGGCATTGATAAGTTTTGTTGATTTACGAGGCGCTAGGGTTATCAAACCAAGAATCATATGTCAATGAATCAAGGTCAAGTTCATCCTTTATTATTTAATGTAATTTAATGATACTTAATATGTTGGAAACAGTTAAATCCCTTCAATTATATTAACTAAAGATGAATTGAATTTAAATTAGGTATAATATAAAAAAAATATCTGAATTACACTTCTTTTCTCATTTAGATGTCTAAGTTTTTTTCGGTTAATGTAGATGTCTAATGTTATTAACTTTATCATTTTAAGTACTTAAATCTGTTAAAAATCCACCAACCACGCAAAATATAACACGTGACTTAATTTTTAATTTCATTTATTAAAAAAAACGTAAATTAAGAAAAAATTATTTTTCAAAATATAACTCAAAATGGAGTTAGGGTTAGTGATTGATTTTTGAGGAATTCAGGCTGTTGGTTGAAGGGATGGCCAACGATGCGGATACTGTCGAAGGGTGAGCAGGCGGCCATTGGCAGGGCAGCTATGGGGACGACCAGCGAGTCAATTGATGTTTGGAAATTAAAGATTTAAGGAATTTTTTGAGATTTTAGAAAAAATTTGTAGATTTTTAAAAGAAATTAAAAAAAATTATAAATGTGTCACATGGGACATTTTGAATGGTTGATTAATTTTTAAAGGACTTTTTAATAATCGTGACAAACCAAATACTTGAAATGATAGTGCTATGCACCTTGACAAAAAAATTAAAAATACATGATTTGGACACTTTTTTAAAATTAAGCATTTAATTTACTAAAACTGATTTTGTGAAAAGAGCATGGGATGTGGATGATGAAACTGTTAAAGCTCTTATCGGCAACCAAAACGGAAAAGGCATCATCAAGCTCGATGCCAATGTTAAGATGCCCGAACCGAAGCCGGAGCATCGAAAGGGATTGGCTTTGAACTGCAAGGAAGCTCCGTTGGATACCGACATCAAAGACGCTGACAATGTTGTTCTCTTGAAAACCAAAAACCTCCCTCTAGTCGGTCAGGTAGGGTTAGGTGCTGACCTCGTTATGTTGGAAGGCAATGCAATGTGCTCTCCTGGCTTCTCTTGCGATTCGGCCTTGCAAGTTACCTATATTGTCAAGGGCAGCGGTCGTCTCCAAGTCGTTGCAAGCGGGTACTGGAGACCATTGTGAAAGCGGGTAATCTATTGATTGTTCCGAGGTTCTATGTTGTTTCGAAGATTGCTGATTCGGAAGGCTTGTCGTGGTTCTCGATCATCACTACGCCCAACCCTATGTTCACACACTTGGCTGGAAGCATTGGGGCATGGAAGGCCTTATCTCCTGAAGTTCTTCAAGCGGCATTCAATGTTCCAGCTGACACAGAGAAGGTTTTCCGTTCAAAGAGGACCAATGATGCCATTTTCTTCCCACCACCAAAGTGAACAAACAGAACCCTAAGCCATCTTCTTTAGCTTTCTCCTAGTCTTAGTTTTATCAAATAAATGCTTTTTAGTGATTTTTTTCTCTCAGCTCTTTTTAGTGTCAGTATTTTTTTTGAAAAGTTTAGTCTTCTTAATTTTAATTATCAATGTTTTATTCTTTTGAGGTCTTGGGTTTAAGCACAATGAATATTAGAGATGTGAGCATTCAATATCAAATGGTAAGTCATCTTTGAACATATATTAAATCATGAAAATTTTATTCTTTAGCATTCAATTATGAAAAATTATATTTTGATTACAAATATTACTGAATTATTTTATTTTAAATGGTATTATTGTACTCTATTATTAAAAACGGTTTTATATCAATTTTTTTTTCTGAAAATACAAATAAAGATAAATTTAAATGTAAAAATTTCTTTGAATTTTTTTTGACATATGCTACAATTATATAAAAATTCTGAAAAATGTTTGGCGTGATCATGAAGGTAGGTTCATTGCGGGTTTTACTTGGAATTTGGGTATCTCCACAGTAATTAATTCCGAGCTGTGGGGAGGGGGGGTTTCAGAAGGTTTAAAGTTTGCTTGGAGCAGGGATTTTCATGTAGGTTTTCATGAGATCTTGGATCGAGATGCAATCGAACCTCCTTGTATCCATTTTTGTCAATTCGCCTAACTATGTGTTTTAGGCTTATTTCTATTCGAAAAAGAAAACTAAATTTTATATTTTTCATGGAACTCAATTTTAGTAATTTGAATTCAATTATCTTTAGTTAATATAATCGAAGTGATTTTACTATTTCCAACATATTAATTACCATTAAATTATTTTAAGTAGAGCATTTGGATGAGTGGGGGAGCGGTAAAATCACTGAAATATATATTTCTTATAACCCTTCTACCATAGTTTCTTTACAATTTAAGTATGTTAATCTACAAGGAATGGATGTCTTGTCCAAGCAACATGGAGAATCCTATGGTTCAAATTTCAAAATTGTAAGTTATGCGACATTGTACTTTGATTTTCTTGTACTAAGTATAAAGTAATTGTTTTCATCTTGGAGATATATTTGTCTTCTTCATAATGTTTGTCTATATATATTACAGGTAAAGCTTGAGTTTTCAGAGTACATCACAGGGGTAAAGGGGATGTTCGATCGAGAGAATGGTATTAAATTGCTTACTTTTATAACCAATAAAAGAAAATTCGGACCCTTTGGTTTGAACATTAAGTGTTAGTTTTGCTACTGGAGGCTTTAGCAGTACATGTTAGAGGATTTTTATATTTGGATATTGATTTTTTTTATTTGTTTCTTCCCTATTTAGGGTAATCAAAACCTCATATTATGATATAGAACTATACGACCTTCTGACATCTTTATCAACCCACCATTTTTTACTAAATCCAAAATTATATTATCTTATGAAACAAAATTAATTAGTAAATCCTGAAAAGTCAAAAATTAAAAGACTCACCAAATTCAAACAAAAATAAATGCAACAATCGCCCACTGAATTTTGGGGTGATAGGTGTTGTGTTTCCACATATTGGCCTGGAGAACTAAACCAACAACACAATCTGCTAACCATGAAAACCACAACTGCTTCTCTATTTCTTCTTTTCGTCTTCTCAATCACACGGTCATACTTTCTGTTTGCCGTGGCCAACGAGGCTGTGCTGGATATTAACGTTCATTGATTCAATGATGATACGACCGGTAAAGTTCATTTATTAATTTGATCATAATTTAATTAATAATATTATATATGTTATGGTGGTTCATATTATCTGGTAGTGACTATCTTTTATATGTAAAAGACTGATCATTAGAACTTCATTTGAAACTAAAATTATGGACATATATGAATTCTCATCATTTATTTAATAACACTAACACTAGCCTAAAGTTTAACATTAAAAATTTTAAAAGAGCTGAAAAAAAACCACTAAAACATATTTATTTGATAAATCTATCGCTAGCAGAAAGTTTAGGCTTCAGTTTCTTCACTTTGGTGGTGGGAAGAAGATGGCATCATTTTTCCTCTTTGAACGGAAAACCTACTCTGTGTCAGCTGGAACCTTGAATGCCGCTTGAAGAACTTCAGGAGATATTGCCTTCCACGCCCCAATGCTTCCAGCCAAGTGTGTGAACATAGGGTTTGGAGTGGTGATGATAGAGAACCATGACAACCCTTCCGGATCAGCAATCTTCGAAACAACATAAAACCTCGGAACAATCAATAGATTTCCCGCTTTCACAACGGTCTCCAGTACCCGCTTACCGTCGACGCCGACGACTTGGAGACGACGGCTGCCCTTGACAATATAGCTAACTTGCAAGGCCGAATCGCAAGAGAAACCAGGGGAGCAAATTGCATTGCCTTCCAACCTAACGAGGTCAGCACCTAGCCCTACCTGACCGACTAGAGGGAGGTTTTTAGTGTTCAAAAGAACAACATTGCCAGCGTCTTTGATGTCGGTATCCAACGCAGCTTCCTCGCAGTTCAAGGCCATTCCCTTTCGGTGATCCGGTTTTGGTTCAGGCATCTTAACATTGGCATCGAGCTTGACGATACCTTTGCCGTTTGGGTTGCCGATAAGAGCCTTAGCAGTTTCATTATCCACATCCCATTCTCTTTCCACATCCCATTCATTTAGCAACTATCAAAACATGCATAATCCACATCCCATCCATTCAAAATAGTTTCGATAACCCAAGCGTCTCGTAAATCAACAAAACTCATCACTGCCATCCTATTAACAAAACGTGCATTAATGCTAAACCCATGCTCTACCTATATATATATATATATATGTTAAAGTCAATGGTGGCGCCAACAATTGTTGAAACTAAAGCAATTTTTTCGGTGGCTTTAAATGCACCAAAAGTTTTTTGAAATTGGATAATTATAATTAGTCCCTGGACTTTAGGGTATTTATAAGATCAGTCATTAAGCTTCAACTATAAATACCCTAATTCATTTAGCTTCAAAATCATTTCAAATCATTTCTTTCTTCTAATACTAGAGAGTTTTCTTGTGAGTAGTGAGTGTTTTGTAAACACCTGTAAATTTTCTCTCTTAGTAAAAGATCTGCAGCAGTCCGAAGACGTAGGCATAATTGGCTGAATTCCGTTATCAATTTCGGGTATTATTTTCCGCTTTTATTTCGCATTCTCACTAATCTGGTTATAGGGAAATTACTCGTACTCGATTTATTTTCAAACAACTGGTATCATAGATGTCATTTTCAATGAGAATGTGATGTACAAAGAAATGTCAACCATAGAATCAAGTAGCTCCAATACCGAAGTTGAAACAAAGGAATTTGTTGAGTTTGAGGAAATTTCTGGAAATGATGTTCAGATCAGTCCTGAAGCAGTTCAAGAAGAACCAAGCACACCAAAACTGAGACGCTCCTCTAGAATTCCTAAACCAACCCAGTGTTATTCACCTTCTTTGCACTACTTGTTGCTGACTGACAATGGTGAACCAGAGTGTTATGATGAAACAATGTAGGTGGAGGATTCAGTCAAGTGAGAGTCTTCCATGAAAGATGAGATGGACTCGTTTATGTCAAATCAGACGTGGGAATTAGCTGAATTACTATCAGACAAGAAAGCGCTCCATAACAAGTGGATTTACAGTATAAAAAAAAGAGCACGATGGGAGCAAACACTACAAAACTAGATTGATTGTCAAAGGTTTTAAGCAAAAAGAATGTATTGACTACAATGAAATTTTCTCTCCAGTCGTGAAACTGTCTACAATCAGACTGGTGTTGAAAATTGTAGCTATAGAAAATCTACATCTTGAGTAGTTAGATGTAAAGACAGTTTTCCTTCATGGTGATTTGGAGGAAGAAATCTATATGAGGCAGCCAGAAGGCTTCATAGAGGCAAACAAGAAAAACCTGGTATGCAGGTTGAAGAAGAGCTTGTATGGTTTAAAACAAGCTCCTAGACAGTGGTACAAGAAGTTCGATAGCTTCATGAGTAGCAGTGGTTTTACCAGATGCCAAGCAGATCATTGTTGCTACATCAAGAGGTTCGACAACAACTTCATTATTTTATTATTATACGTTGATGACATGCTCGTTATAGGCTCATACATGCAAGAGATTATAAACTTGAAGAAAAAATTATCGAAGCAGTTTGCTATGAAAGATCTGGGCGCTGTAAAGCAGATTCTTGGGATGAGGATTAAGAGAAACACAAAGTCGATGAATTTGATGTTATCACAGGCTGAATGCATCAACAAAGTACTCTTCTGGTTCAACATGCAAGATGCTAAACCAGTAAGTACACCTTTAGATGTTCATTTTAGACTCTCCAAAGAACAGTCACCAAAGATGGAGGAAGAACGTGCACACATGGTGAAGGTGTTGTATGCCTCAATAATTGGAAGTCTGATGTATATCATGGTTTGTACTAGATCAGATATTGCTCATGCAGTGGGAGTTGTTAGTAGGTACATGAATAATCCAAGCAAGGTACACTGGAAGCAGTCAAATGGATCCTCAGATATCTGCGGGGTACCACAAACAAAACACTTTGTTTCAAATGTGGAGATACGATACTGACAGGCTATGTAGATGCTGACTTAGCCGGAAATGTTGACATCAAAAGGAGCACTACAGGGTATGTCTATACTCTAGGAGGTACTGCAGTGAGTTGGATTGCTCAACTACAGAAGATAGTTGCTCTCTCCACAACTGAAGCAGAATATGTCGCTGTTACAGAAGCCATCAAGGAGATGGTTTGGCTCTAAAGTTTCTTGGAATAGTTAGGCAAGAAGCAAAAAAACAACGTCTTGTATTGCGACAGTCAAAGTGCTATCCATCTAGTGAAGAATCCGTCTTTTCATTCCAAGACGAAGCACATACAATTGCAATATCATTTTATCCGGTCTCTTCTGGAAGATGGGATTTTGAAACTTGAAAAGATTAGTGGAGCTCAAAATCCGGCAGACATGTTGACAAAGACGGTGACCACGGACAAACTGAAGTTGTGTTTAGCTTCAGTTGGCATGCTAGAATAACAAGACTAGAAATGATGCTGCATTAATCGAGGTGTGAAGACAGATTAAAATCAGTCTTCAAGTGGGAGAATTTTAAAGTCAATGGTGGCGCCAACAATTGTTGAAACTAAAGCAATTTTTTCGGTGGCTTTAAATGCGTCGAAAGTTTTTTGAAATGAGATAATTATAATTAGTCCCTGGACTTTAAGATATTTATAAGATTAGTCCTTAAGCTTCAACTATAAATACCCTAGCTCATTTAGCTTCAAAATCATTTCTTTCTTCCAATACTAGAGAACTTTCTTGTGAGTAGTGAGTGTTTTGTAAACACCTGTAAAATTTCTCTCTTAGTAAAAGATCTGCAGCAGTCCGGAGACGTAGGCATAATTGGTTGAACTTCGTTATCAATTTCGGGGTATTATTTTTCCGTTTTTATTTCACATTCTCACTAATCTGGTTATAGGGAAATTATTCGTACTCGGTTTATTTCCCAACAATATATATATAATTGGCTGAAGTGGTCCATAGCTGAGGAGTTGCCGTTGGAGAGAATCCAAGCAAGGTTACACTACAGGACAAGAGCAATGACACCTGTAAACAAATAATTGGTGGCTGTTAGAGCCTTATAATATATATTTTGAGCTAAAGACTATCATTTATTCATACGGATGAGCACATACAATTGCAATATCATTTTATCCGATCTCTTCTGGAATATGAGATTTTGAAACTTGAAAAGATTAGTGGAGCTCAAAATCCGGCAGACATGTTAACAAAGACGGTGACCACAGACAAATTTTATAATTTCGTCATCTTAAATATTATAAATTTATATATAATATAAATTCTACATCTAATTATTAGTGACATTACCAAATAATAAAATAGTTCTGGCCTCTCAATGATGAACTTTACACAAACAAAAAATTCCATCTCAAATATCAAATTACTTGCCAAGTTGGCCATAAATCCATACGAGATTTCAGATAAAAAGATAGATTCTTAAATGAAAGATAATATTATATTTCCAAACAAAATACAAATGCAGTAAGATAAAAAGCATATGAAAATCCAAATGAAACCATGATGTTTAGCATATATTTCTTCTTCATAATATTCATTATTCATCTCTAGTCTTAAGATAAGCTCCAATGGAGGTTAGACATCCATTTTTGGTGTGGCCAAAAAATCCACCAAACCGACGGTTCAGCCCAAATTGAAAGTTGAATTCTCTTGAACGAGTGTTAACAGCACCAAAGGGACCGAATTCTCTTGCATTGGTTATAAAAGTAAGTGATTCAATATGAAAACAACATTTCCCCTTTACCCCTGTGAGGTACTCTGAAGAATTGAGCTTTACCTGTAATTTACAAATACATAAAAATAAAAAGTTATAATTAGAAAAAAAAGATAAATTTTTTGAAATAAAATGGCGTGTAACTTACAACATTGAAATGTGAACCATTAGATATTCCATGTAGCCTGGACAAGACCTGCATTCCTTGTGGATTAACATACTTAAATTGCAAAGAAGCAATATAATAAGAGCAATAAGAAATATAAATTTCAATGATTCTATCATTTCCCTTCTCATCCCATTCTCCTCCAGAACGATCATTTCCGACCGGCCCTACTTTTATCATTTCTGGGAAACTCATTTGCTAAAAGTAAACAAGGATGGACTTTCCTTCCTTCTTAACTCATATATATATATATATATAGGTAGAGCATGGGTTTAGCATTAATGCATGTTTTGTTAATTGGATGGCAGTGATGAGTTTTGTTGATTTACGAGACGCTATGGTTATCGAATCAAGAATCATATGGCAATGAACCAAGGTCAAGTTCATCCATTCTTATTTAATGATAATTAGTATGTTGGAAAAAGTAAAATCACTTCCATTATATTGACTAAAGATTAATTGATTTTTTTAAAGTAATACGGGAAAGTATTTATTTATCGGAAATCGTATCAATAACGTCTTGCCAATTACAAACTGAACAAAAACAGTTGAGACTATCATAACACCTTACAATGATCACCTAGTGATAGCTTGATAAGTAAAAGTATGAACAAATCAAGCAACGATGGATATAAATTGATCGCACCAACAGCTCCAAGCACCAACCATGGAGGAGAAAAACTTGGAGAATATCCAAAACGATAAACGGAGAAGACGATTTCCCCGAAAGGTAATCCCATTCATGGAACCATATTGAAATACATATCAAGAAACAACCTACACCGAAAGTCCACAAACACCAGCCATGATACCCTTTACTAGAAAAAAGGCCAAGAGAAAACCATAATAAAACTAAAATTAAAAATTAGTAAAAGTAAAAGGAAAGAACGAAAAATAGAAACAAAAGGGCATGGAGATGGCCATGAACGACCACCACCATTGTCTCAAAGATCCTGTCGATCGGCTTGTAACTCCTGAACAGCCTCAGAGCAAGAACAAATTTGATAACTGCCGCAGAGCGTGTTGGTAACTTTTTTTTAGAGAATATAAATGTGAGTAAACATAAGATTAATTGAATTTAAATTACTAAAACTGAGTTCCATCAAAATATATAATTTAGTTTTCTTTCTTATAATTTGAATTTTTACAATATTTTTTGAATATTTCACATAATTATTACATTTATAATTTTTTTAAAGATTTTTTTGTATTTTTTATTTATCGTTAAATTTTTTTTATAGAAGCATCAAATTAATAATTTAATTATATTTTTAGGAAAATTAGATATTAAACCTTTTTTTAAGATGCAATATCATCATTTAAAATAAGATGATTTGATAATATTAATAATTAAAGCATAATTTTCCATAATTGAATGGTAAAAGTAATATATACACATAAATAAACCATTTGTAATTGATTTATCTTTTTATATATAAAAGATTGGTGATGAAAATTTCATTAGAATCTAAAATAATGGACATATATGAATTCTCATAATTTATTTGATAAAATTAACATTAACCTAAAGCTAACACTAGAAAGAGCTGCGAACAAAAAAACTAAAAAAAAACATTTATTTGATAAAACTAACACTAGCAGAGAGTTTATCACTTTGGTGGTGGGAAGAAGATGGCATCATTTGTCCTCTTGGAACGGAAAACCTTCTCTGTCTCGGCTGGAACCTCGAATGCCGCTTGAAGAACTTCAGGAGATAAGGCCTTCCACGCCCCAATGCTTCCGGCCAAGTGGGTGAACATAGGGTTGGGTGTGGTAATGATTGAGAACCACGATAAGCCGTCCTGATCCGCAATCTTCGAAACAACATAGAACCTCGGAACGATCAACAGATTACCCGCTTTCACAACAGTTTCCAGTACCCGCTTGCCGTCGACGCCGACGACTTGGAGATGACCGCTGCCCTTGACAATGTACGTAACCTGCAAGGCCGAATCGCAAGAGAAGCCAGGAGAGCACATTGCATTGCCTTCCAACCTAACGAGGTCAGCACCTAACCCTACCTGACCGACTAGAGGGAGGTTTTTGGTGTTCAAGAGAACAACATTGCCAGCGCCTTTGATATCGGTATCCAACGGAGCTTCCTCGCAGTTCAAAGCCATTCCCTTTCGATGATCCGGCTTCGGTTCGGGCATCTTAACATTGGCATCGAGCTTGACGATGCCTTTTCCGTTTTGGTTTCCGATAAGAGCCTTAGCAGTTTCATCATCCACATCCCATGCTCTTTTCACAAAATCTGTCGTGAAGCCGGTGAAGATGCCGTTGGAGCCGGTGAGAAAGAAATCCGTGAATTGACCGGCTTTATGACCTTTTGAAGTATCTCCCATGAAAAGGACGACCAATTCAGTGTCCTCCTTGTTATACCACCAGGTGATAACACCGAAAGGAAGGGCGATGGCATCACCCTTCTTGATAGAAATCACCTTCTCCTCGGATTCAGGCAGAATAATCCCGGCAACTCCGACTCCTTGAAGAACATAAGCAACTCTAGAAGAATCCGAGTAACCAGGAAGGGCAAAGCCGTTCTTTTCAAGAGCTAATTTGGCAGCACCAATGTTGCCTTGACGCAACATAGGAAGTTCATTAGGGCACCAAGCATGGTAGCTTCCACCATCGTCTCCGTATACTTTCTTCGCCAACTTCGGAGAAAGATCGAGTTCCATCTTTATGATTCACCTGAGAATTGAAACACAAAATAGGGCTATTGGATATATATAGCCGTGAGATGAAGATGTTTAGGGCTATTGGATATATATAGCCGTGAGATGCAGATGTTTGTTTCTCTTTTAATCACCAAAATCTAGAGTCCTATATATTTAAAACTTCTAAAACAAATCACTCTGTTGATAATTGTTAACAAACAAGAAGAATTCAATGATTACACAAATCCTTAAGGATAGTTGATATCTACTTAGTTTTGATGCACAAATTTATATTATATTGATTACTTAGACATAATATATTGTATATACAATTTTAAACTTTATTATAGACAATTAATATAAAATATTTATATGAAAACTATTAAGAATAAATTGTTACAAATATTATCAATTAATATAAAGAATTTATGCAAAGTGATTTGAATATAACATTAAAATTTAATAAATATATAAACTATTTAATTTAAAAGATAAATATCCTTTTATTTTTGAAAAAAAAAACCCTTTTCACGTAAATATAAGAGTTTTCTTTTTCTTAAAACTTTTATAAAATTTGTAATATATTGTACTACGTACCTCCTTCCCATTAATTGTGTCAATTATTGATTTTTTAAAAGTTAAAATTTTTAAACTTTGATCATAATTATTTTAAATAATTAAATTTTATAAAATGTATATTTAAAACTACTTGATTTAAGATTTTTAAAATATATTTTTTTTCATATTTTTTTTTCATTTGTATTAGACTGATAAACCTCCCTTGACGTGGAAGCAAAGATTGGAAATATGCATTGGAGATGCAAGTGGACTTCACTCTCTTCGCACTGGCGCAAGGTATCCAATCATACACAGAGATGTTAAGACTACAAACATTTTAGGGAACAAGTCAATCTGGCCGATTACGCTCTGCATTGCCAAACGAAAGGAACACTCTATCAAATCATCGATCCACATCTTGAGGGAAAGATTAACTCGGAGTGCTTTAAGATATTCTCGGACGTATCGGTAAAGTGTTTATCGGATAACAGGATTGATCGACCTTCGATCGGCGACCTGCTTTGGAATCTCGAGAAGGCCAATGATGCTTATGATAGTGTTAGTTTTATCAAATAAATCACGATAGTTCATGCATGTCCATAATTTTTTTTTCAAATGAAATTTTAATGGTAAGTGTTTTATATATAAAAGACAATTAATTACAAATGATTTATATATATATATATATATTACATTTACTATTCAATTATAAAAGAATAAAAAATCTATTAAGTATTTAAATTTAAAAATCGAGTGAAAATTTTTAATTGACTAATTTTTAAATTAAAAGAACTAAAATACCATTATACCTAAAAAAATTGGGAGGCACAATTCCCGATCTCTTAGTGGCTTCATCTCTGCTAGTAAAATTTTGATCAAATAATTAATCATTTGCTATGTTGCTCTGGCTAGTTCATTCTTATCCTAAAATGCATTTACTTGATATCCGTATCCGTATTCGTATCCGAGACTTTTTTACGTGAATACAGGTGTGGTTGTCCAACATGGAACTCATCTCGGAATCCAGGTAGCACATGTATCATCTTCCTTTTGGATCCGCAAACGTTGAGTGAATGGGGCTTAACGTGCTCGATTCGACTTCATTGTTAGCTATCTGTTCATAAATGGAGATCGTTGCAGCATGTATATCATAAGCATCATTGGCCTTCTCTTGTGCCAATTCAACTCTTCCAGGGTTTTCCTGCAATTGAAGGCAGAACTCGAGATTCCAAAGCACGTCTCCGATCGAAGGCCAATCGATCCCGTTATCCGATAAACACTTTCCCGCTATGTCTGAGAATATCTTAAAGTACTCCTGGTTAATCTTTCCCTCAAGATGTGGATCGATGATTTGATGGAGTGTTCCTTTCGTTTGGCAATGTAGAGCGTAATCGGCCAGACTGACTTGTTCCCTCGGCAAGTTCGAATCCAATACCGGCCTTGCGCACAACACCTCGAAAAGGACTACTCCAAATGAGTACACGTCGGATTTTTCGGTTAATTGTTGCCTACGGAAGTATTCAGGGTCCAAGTAACCGAAGCTACCTTTCACCATTGTACTAACATGAGTTTGGTTAAGACTTGAACCGGTTTTCGATAGTCCGAAATCGGAAACTTTCGTGACCCAATTCTCATCCACTAAAATGTTTGTTGTTTTAACATCTCCGTGTATGATTGGATACCTTGCGCCAGTGTGAAGATAGTGAAGTCCACTTGCAGCTCCAATGCATATTTCCAATCTTTGCTTCCACGTCAAGGGAGGTTTATCAGTCTGATACAAATGTTCCCTTAAGGTTCCATTAGCCATATAATCGTAGACCAAGATCATCTCCCCGGCTTCTTCGCAAAATCCGATTAACGAGACCAAATGCCAGTGTCTAAGCTTCGAGAGCATCTCGATTTCGTTCTGGAATTCGTGAAGTCCTTGTTCCGAAGAAGGGTTTGCTCTTTTGATAGCAACTTTAGTCCCTCCATCTATAGTACCCTTATAAACATTGCCAAATCCACCGACACCGATGACCTGTGATTCATGAAAGTTCTTGGTTCCGTTTTTTATATCCAGTAAGGAGAAATGCCTGCAGAGACCGGCGGCCGCTGCTTTTTCGGCTCGATTTGTCTCCACGGGAACTGCCATAAATTGGCAACAGATTGACGGTTTGACTAGCACCATCATGCTGGCTCTTTTTCTTAACAAAAACAAGTATGGCAGCCACTAAAGCACAACTAGTAATCCCTCCAGCCACCCCACCAAGCATTTTCTCAACTTTAGACCTTGATGTTGAGAAATGTCCACCATCTTGTTCTTCTGCATTAGTAAGCATTTCTGATGGCAACGGATTCGGACCGGCCAATTGAAAACCTCCAATCCGTTAAGAATCGAATCATAACGCTTGGTTCTCCTCCATCGGACCGGATGCAATGTCACCCGAATCTCGTCCACTCCGGTTTGATCCAAAACATAGAGTGCATAATCTTTATAACTGGTCTCCCCTTAGCTCCTGACCATGCAAGTACATCAGCCCTTCGCTCTGCTGTTTGGTTGTTAAGAAAGATATCAAACACTCTTTCCCTGATACTACTCAGCTGATTCTCACAAAAATGAAGCCTAACAACATATGTGAAATCTGCATCAACATGGAAAATCCAAGTAAGGTTATGTTTCTCGTTAACTTTCGAATAAGCCCCATCGTCCGCGCCTTGCTATGCACATTCAACGGCGCGATGTCTTCGGTTACTTCCTTCGTATATTAGATCTTAACATCTCTCTTGGCATGGGAGATGGCACCGACCCCACCACCGAAAAAATACGGCAAATCGTTGTACCACGTCCGAGTAAGGCCGGAGTCGTTGTGCGGTGCAATGAACCGTCCGCCTATGTGTAGCCTAAACGTCGTTTGCAGAGTTGAGCCATGGAGATCAAGAGTTTCAGGCTTTCAGCACTATATCCAGCAATACCAACAGGTTTTTGGAATATATCAGGCATAGGGATCACTTCAATTCCATTGATGAATGCATACGATTCCTTGCAGGGTGTGATCTTAAGGTTGAGATTGCCCGATTGGCATCAAAGAGAATTCCCTTTGTGGCGATTGGTTCGGTGGAATATTTTTGAGAGAATTGAAATCTGGGAATGAATTGAAATATGTATGAATTGGAATCTGAATCTAAAACTTGTTTGGTTAGCAGAAAATTGAATTGAAATTTAATTACATATTCTGTTTAGTTCGCAAAATGTCAGATGAGTTTGATTTCAGTAATGTAAAATGACAGAATTACTTTTCTTATTTTTTGCTTAATTTTAGTTTGTTTTATAACTTACATGTAGCAATATATTATAAAAATTTAAAAAATATTAAAATTTCATTTTATTGATTGATTATTCATTTCAATAAATTATAAAAATCATACTAATAAACATCATAAGTTAAAATTATTCCAATTAGGATGGTCATGGGTCGAGTTGGGTCGGGTTTTTGGTCCACCCGACCCGAGAACAAGGGAACCTCCACCTGAGACCCGACCCGACCAAAATAAAGTTTCACCCGACTATATAAGGTAAAATTATATTTTTTTCGGGTCGGGTCGGGTATTTTTCACCCTAAACCGAACTCGACCCGAATATCAAACTTAAAAAAACCCGACCTGACCCGAACCAGAAATTTTTTTAAAAAAATCCGACATGTTCCCGAATTTTTTAAAAAAATTGACCCTAACCCGACCCAAATATCACACTTAAAAAACCTGATCCGAACCCGATTTTTTAAAAAAAATCCGACCCGAATACCAAAAGATTGATGAGGATAATATGGTCAAATTTCACATTCTCTCTTCTAAAGGATTTCAATTCCATCATATTATGGATGGAATTTACTTTCACTCTTGATGAAATTGGATTCCAACTCTCCCTTTAAAAACTTGAACCAAACATGGAAAAGTGATGGTTTTGGATTCCAATTCCCCTAATTCTGATTCCAGCGAACCAAACGCCACCTTAAGACATAAGCCTGCGTGAACGCTTTCGCCGTGAAAGCCGCGCTGAAGTTGTTGAGCAGCGTGATGCCGTTGGCAGGGACGGAGAAATAGGCGCTGAAAGGATCGAAGTTGCCGTACGTGGCGGGGTAAAAATGGAGCCGAAGCCATAGGCGAGACTTGGAAAAAACCGGGAACTTTTACATCGTCAACGATGATTGAAAAACTCTGGCGTTCATTTATGGAACTGTCGATGGCAATAAAGGGTCCTCGAATTCAGCCTCGACGGCCTCCGTATCATCTCTGCTATCGGACGAAGCTATAAACTCCTGGTCGGGAATCCAATTTCGGCCATCGGAATCGATGCCATCGCCACCACAGCAAGAAAGGATGTAAGAGACGGGTGCTGATTCTGGACTATTTTCTCCAAGAACATGAAATGCGTTCATAGTAAAAGTGCAACAATAAAAAGCGAGAAACAAGGATTTGGAGATGGATTTC